CAGGGGAGAAATACAAAGAGAGAGCTGGAGCTGGTTTCCCCACATGATGAAGACACACGAGATCATTCTCAACAGAACTGAGCATCTCCTGATGGTGGTCTGATAACAACTGTAATTAGATATTCAATCACTCACAGAGTAAGATCAGCCAAACAAATGCATGCCTGCTAAGGGAAATAGCACATGGAAAGATTATATGTTTGCTGAACCAGAAGTAAAACATATAATGAAAACTCAACACTAGAGCCTAGCCCTTGCCTAACAAACTGCCTGTTTTCCTGCAGAACTATTAATCAGACCTATCCTTGCCATTTCTACTGCCATGCAGCAGGTGCTGTCACGTCCAAAGGTCTAACTCTGAAAGGAGTCTTTCATTCATGCCTGTGGATTTTACATCAGGTTTTGTGAGATGAGAACAGCCCCTACACTGGAGGAGCAGCTTGTGGGCCCTCATATCTACAAAAGCTAAAGGCCAGCCCATTTGGAGGAAAGAGAATTTGTTTATAACCAGCCACAAAGCAAAATAAAAGTATTGGAAGTTGTTCTCCATATCTGTATTTTAGACTGGAAGTTTTTGAAGCAGATTGTGTGCTCCGGGTGTGCAAGCTCATCTGTCATCTTGTGCATCCCATTTACCCTGCTGTCACAGGAGGAAAAATACACCAGGAAAAGATGACCCTATTTGCATCATGCACATCATGATAACTGACCCAGCCTATAGTATAAAGTTTTAAGAGGAAATGTAAGAAGAAATTTTAAAAGAAAACACAAAAAGGGCCACGGATCAGATTAGTCTACCTATGAGCAGACTTAAAATATCCATTGACATGAAGTAGAAAAACTACTAGTAAAGAAAAAAGGCCCACAGAACTAAAGAGCTGAAAGTCACACTGCAGGATAAGCCTTTTATCTGTAGAGATCCTACACAATGCCAGGCAAGTGATTTCACTCAGATATTCTCAAATGGCCCTTGTTAGTTTATCCACAATTTTCCCAAGTCCTTGGGCCAGTTGCATGGCTGCAATCAAAACCAGCGCTCAAAACCAGGTCCATGTGCAATGAGGAGTCACTGAATCCCTGGGGAAGGGTGCAGGGAGGCTGGAGGGAGGCAGGAGCCACATGATCTCTATGGCTGCTGATGAGACAATATTTGGGTAAGGTAAGGAGCATAGCTCAGTCTCCATGCAGAGCAGCTCTGCACAAATGACTTTCTGTTAGTCACCATATCCTGAAACTGGTCTGGACCATGCAGAGCAGCTCTGCACAAATGACCTTCTGTTAGTCACCATCTCCTGAAACTGGTCTGGAACTTTTTTTGTTTGTTTGTTTGTTTTGTTTTGTTTTTTTTTAAATTTTATTTGCCTGCTGCCCAGAGTTAGGTACTCAGAGGTGCCCCCAGTGCCTGCTTGAGACCCCAGTGCCACAGTTCCTGGGCAGTTCTGGACCACGACGCTGGGAAAACCCATTTCTGCCTCCCATAAGGCAGTGGCACGCCAAGCAAGGATAAATGCCAGCCACTGCTGCACGGGTTTTCTATTGCTCAGGGGTATAATGGATTAAGTAGTGGATGCATTAAATGATCCCTAACTATAATTAGCTCCTCCTATGCTTATAACACTACAGGTTCATACAAATGGTTTCTAATGACACATGCAGTGTCTAGGAACAGGATAATAGCTATTTGAACAGTTGCTGATTCCTGAGTGGGTACATGGCCATGTATTTTACAATTACTGGGAAACTTCAGACATTTTTTACAAGTGCTCTGGGCATCGACCTAGAGAAAAGCTTGGTTAGATGAGAATGGAGATGACGCCCTTCCCCTGATGGTGGCAGATAGATAATGTGGGCTGTTGTTGGACATTGCTGCTGCCCCAGTCTTGATGGTCCTCGTTCCCACTCTCTCCCTGCAGCATGACTAGCAGAACAGAGCCTTCTCCCAGCTCATGCCTACAGCGCAAGCACTCAAGGAGAGTCAAGAAAGTCTTCCAAAAAATATTCTTATCTGCGTGGTTCTCAGCAATTACACTAACATTCAGAATATTCAATTAAATCTTGCTCATTTAATACTGGATCATAATCCTCATCAGCAAGTAGGACCTACAACACATACTAAGGCCAAAAGGCTGCTGGCCATGCTGGGCAGCTGGGACCTCTTTGCACAGACCAGGCTGTGAGCTTAGGGACTGAAGCTTGCAGTTTCAAAACTCAAAATTACTATAACTATTTTTTTTTTCTTTTCAAATAATAATCTCTTTTCATCTTGTTTCTTGAGCTAAAGATAATAATGTGGTTTTTATTCAAGAACAGTCTTTTGGTTAAAAAAGCATGGAAAATTGCAGCTCTTGTCAACCATGAAGCCCAAAAGCAAAGGCTCAAAAGAAAACAAGTTTGTAACTTCAGCCACCCTGGTAATAACCAGCCAACACTAATTGTAGACATTTTGTTCACTAAAAATAAGCAGAAAGTACTCCAAAGTTCCTGAAAAGCACATTGTGTCAAAAGAAACCTTCATTTCTTACATTAGATGAAAATTGTTCTTCATTAGAAATTTCTTTTTAATGAACTGGGTATATCATGACATTTTCACCTGCCTTTGAAATGGCAGCAACTCCTTATTCACATTGGTGATCAGGTTTAACTTCACAGGAAATGGAGAATAAATATAATTTTCTTTTATAAACACATGCAGGCACACATACACAATAATTTAAATGTGATCTACTGCTATTTGAATACAAGTCTACCTCAGCACGCAGAACTGCTGCCAGCAAAGCCCAGTCTGCCCACTGAGGGCAAGAGAGTATGAATGGCAGAGGGCAAAAGGGATAAAGGAATCTCCTCCAGCCACCCAGCTCTAAGAGTTGAGCCAGTAACTCAGGTTCTCTACCAGTCTCCTAATTTACAGCCACATGGAGCCTCAGTCTGCCAGGGAGTGAAGGTATCTGGCTGCAAAGCCACACTAAAACCTGCTTCACTTTAAGGAACCCATAAATACATTTCATTTGTAGTGCTCTTTGCTCAAAGCAGTCTCAAGGAGTGAAGCAGAATTGCAAGTTTTCAGGTAAGCAATATTTCTCCATTTTCAGTTTGGAGAGTTCAAGATTGCAATGAAGAACTGATCAGCAGTGCAAGAAAACTAAACTGGGGATGAATCAAATATTCTTGAAAATTTTGTATGATTTTACTTGAAATATACCAGTGAGAGGCTTCAATGTGGGTGACTGGTATCACCATGCAGCAGAAAAGAGAGAAAATGTGTATAGCCATCCCTAACTTTGGTCTGAATGTAAATCTGGATTTTTTTTTTTTTTTAAAACAAGCTTCATAGCCTTTACCTAATGCATCTTTGACTGCAAAGCTGCTATACCAGAGCTAACATTCATGTTGAAAAGCATTAGTGTTTTAACTAAATTATGAAGAGACTGTTAACATTTCTTTCTGATGTGCACAAAGGGATATCCGTCTTTCTAAATGATTCTGGTCAAATAATTCCTGTTGTACCCCAGATTTAATGACTCTCTTTGTCAGAGAAAATTTGTCATGTTCTACCAGTCATTGGGATAGTGCAGAAACATCTATACAGGTGACATTCTAAATGCTGTTAATTGGATCACATCAAAACCTAATTCTATTCACAGCATTTTCAGGACTGCAAAAAGACAATTCTGTCTTTTTTTTTTTTTTTTGACTTAAGTGACTTCATCCTGGGTGTTCAATGTAATACTGATTTAGTTTAAAGACTGTGTTTCTTGGACAAGATAGGGCTTGAAGGTATCCTGCCTAGCACCTTATGAAGTCACTTAAAATATTTTCTCAAATGGACTAGGTTAGGATCTGAAGGGATGGTGTCCACAAGACCCACAGCATCACATCTCTTGCCTCACTTGAGATAACTGAAGGTTAGACATCCAGGTTTGAGCTATTCACCTTGGGCTGCTTTTGCTGTCAATGGAAAGAAATAGGTATGCCAGTAGACTAAGTCATTTATCTTAGAAACCTCTTACAGGAAGACACCTTATGTCCTGGAGGAACCTACAGCTTTCCCTAGATGATAAACGAGGGGGTGTAGGAGAACTGGCTCCACTTTAAGCATCTAACTTTCTGATATCTGAAGTTAGATGAGGTGATTTGGATCCTTGGTTACCATTCTATCAGGTTAACATGCTACCAAGAAAGTTTGTCTTGAACTCACTGTGGAGAGATCCAAAATGGCTATGGCAGAGGACAAAGCACTTCAGAGACAAGTTTATCTAGCTCCAAGTCACCCAAAATGGAAAGCAAGATCAGTGCCTTCACTCAATACCTGTGCTTTCCATCTTCCCTCTGCTCTTTGAGAAGCAATCTTTCATCATTTAAATCAGTTTTATGCCACTATGAAGCTTGATTTTAAAAAAAAATAAAAAAATTATACTAGTTCTGTGCTCCAATGACTCCAAGAGAATCAGGTAATATTCAGAGAAGAAGTCGTGATTGTCAGGTTATGGGAGCATCAGATCCTGAAATCTATATCTGAACCTAACATCTTTTGGTTCTCATGGAACCAGAACAGCATGTCTGGTTTTATAAGCACTGAACACTAATTAACTCAGATTAATGAAGATATGGGTATGAAAGGCTAAGACTAATTAATAGTTTTGCAAAATCTTAGCTCAAACTCTCTGTAGGTCTCTAAATGTGCACTTCCTACTCCAGAGGGTTTGCAGATAAGCAGTGATTATCTTCTTCAAAACAGGAGGTTACATAAAGCAAGAATAAAACTAATCATAATCAAAATTAACATAAAGGAGAGGGAAGGGTGAAATCAATCATTTGAGTGGGGTTATCTAGGTCAGAGTTGGGTATGTTAGCAAATCCCTGTTCCCTCCCTCTACCATGCCTTGTTAAACATACCCCATTTACTCCAGCAACAAAAGATTTAACTGAATTAATTTGTCCCAACAAACCAATTAAAACTAAACATCTGATTTTTGTAAAGCTTTAGGAAAATCTCTGAAAACATGGGATCTGAACACACCGGCAACCTTACTGCTCTGCCAGGCCACACAGACCTGTCGACAAGCTGCAAGGATGAAGAATTCTTAGAGGTGAGGTCCTATCTCTCCGTCCTTTATGGGCTAATCTTCCTGGTGTGCTTCCCAGGGAACATTGTGACAATTTTTGCTTACTTTGTCAAGATAAGGCCCTGGAAAAGCAGCACCATCATTATGCTAAACCTGGCTATCACTGACCTATTATATGTAGCCACACTTCCTTTCTTTATACACTATTCTACCAACGGAAATAACTGGATTTTTGGAGACTTCATGTGCAAGTTTATTCACTTTTGTTTCTACTTCAACATGTACAGTGGCATTATCTTCCTCAGTTGCTTCAGCATCTTCCGCTTTTTTGTAGTTGTCTACCCAATTAAATGCTTTTTTATTCAAAACCGGAGGTGGGCAGTGGTGACCTCCCTCGTAGTCTGGCTGATTTCCCTGGCAGCCATCAGCCCCTTGGGCACCTTGATTGCTACGAAGCATACTCAGAACAGGACGACGTGCCCAGACCTGGCTGCTGCTGAGGACCTTGACGCCAGTCGGTGGTACAACTGGCTGCTGACGGTGTTTGCCTTCTTCTTGCCCTTGCTGGCGGTGACTCTGTGCTACGTGCTCATCATTTGCACCTTGGCTACCGGGCCCCACACGCGGGCTTGCTACAAACAGAAGGCTCGCCGACTTGCTCTTGTCCTCTTGGTGGTCTTCTACGTGTGCTTCCTTCCCTTACACATCTTCCGAGGGATCTGGCTGGAGCTCCGAGTACGACCGGTTAGCTGCCACTTGAAGAGCACGATCCTTTTTATGCTGATTATAGCCAAGCCTCTAGCAGCGTTAAATACTTTTGGAAACTTAATGCTCTATGTGGTGATGGTAGACAACATCCAGCAGGCGATCCTCTCGCTCCTCAAGGTCTTCACAAACAAGAACTTGAAGTAAAAGAGATTGATGCCGTGAAAGAGGTATGGATGGAGGGTCCAAACCAGCCCTCAACCAACCAGGCACATCTCTTTGCTGTCAGGGTACTCGGGTTAACCCTGCCAGTGCCAAATGAGAGTTAATCTGTTCTGTGTTTTAGAGTTACAAATTGATCATCAAAAGAGAAAACTTGTCACTAAAAATAAAAAGCTTTAAATAAAATACTAAAAAATTACTGTGAAACTTCTCAGAAATTTCTCTGTATTTGCTTCCTGAATCCTTGACACCTCATTTAGAGAATGGCCAACAGCTCCAGAAAAAAAAATAGCTGATTGTTAATGGCAAATACAGATTCAGGGTGGGACTAATTTAATTTTGGTAATTGAGAAGTCAAGTGTCTAGTCTAAGCTCAGTGCCTGTCTTGGAGTTGTTTCCTAAGCAATGGAGGGGGGTGAGCCCCTCCAGAGGGCAATCCTTCACACTTGTCTCAGACCTGAAGGAGGCTCATCTCATCTCCCTGGAGACACAGACAGGGTAGGTGTATGCATGTAAGCTAATCACCTTGTCCTCCCTTTGTAATTTCCCATCATAACAGAGAGAAATAAGCAATTTTAGAGTGTTATTCACCCATTATTCTTGATTCTCACATGTAAACAGGATGAATCATGCATGACCTAGAAGTGCCTGTTTCTCTTCATTGACCATAAAAGGTAAGTACATCAAACACAAACCCTGCTTGTTTTCACAAAGCTGAGGCCCAGCTCTAGCACAGAGTGCGATCGATCACTCTCCAGAGATGTCTGAGGGGGGGGCTTATGCAGTAAGACCCTCTTCAGTGTCTTCAGTGATTGCCTGAAGATTAATAGTGCAACAATACAAGATCACTCCTGTAAGGGTTTTCCATACTAACCGATTCATTTTAGTCCAGAGGTGAGAAGCGAATGGATGGATAAATGTGATTCTGTGCTTCTATAGATCTGACACAGAATGGTTTGAGTTGGAAAGGGCCTTTGAAGGTCATCTAATCCAACCCCCCTGCAGTGAGAAGGGAAAACTTTAACTAGATTAGATTGCTCAGAGCCCTGTCAACCTGACCTTTAATGTTTCAAGGGATGGGGCATCTACCACCTCTCTGACCAACCTCTTCCAGTGTATAACAGAGAGAAATAAGCAATTTTAGAGTGTTATTCACCCATTATTCTTGATGCCCACATGTAAACAGGATGAATCATGCATGACCTAGAAGTGCCTGTTTCTCTTCATTGACCATAAAAGGTAAGTACATCAAACACAAACCCTGCTTGTTTTCACAAAGCTGAGGCCCAGCTCTAGCACAGAGTGCGATCGATCACTCTCCAGAGATGTCTGAGGGGGGGGCTTATGCAGTAAGACCCTCTTCAGTGTCTTCAGTGATTGCCTGCAGATTAATAGTGCAACAATACAAGATCACTCCTGTAAGGGTTTTCCATACTAACCGATTCATTTTAGTCCAGAGGTGAGAAGCGAATGGATGGATAAATGTGATTCTGTGCTTCTATAGATCTGACACAGAATGGTTTGAGTTGGAAAGGGCCTTTGAAGGTCATCTAATCCAACCCCCCTGCAGTGAGAAGGGAAAACTTTAACTAGATTAGATTGCTCAGAGCCCTGTCAACCTGACCTTTAATGTTTCAAGGGATGGGGCATCTACCACCTCTCTGACCAACCTCTTCCAGTGTTTCACCACCCTCATCATAAAAAATGTCATCCTTATTTCTAACCTGGATCTACACTCTTTTGGTTTAAAACCATTATACCCTGTCTCATTACATCAGGCCCTATTAGAAAATATCTTTCTTATAAGCCTCCTTTAAGTACTGAAAGGCCACAATCAGGCCTCCTCCAAGACTCCTCCAGGCTAAACAACCCCAACTCTCTCAGCCTCTCCTCAAAGAAGAGGTGTTCCATCCCTCTGATCATTTCTGTGGATCTCCTCTGGACCCACTCCAACAGATTCATACCTAGCTTGTACTGAGGACTCCAGAACCTGACCCAGTACTTCAGGTGGAGGCTCAACAGAGCAGAGTAGAGGGCAAGAATCACCTCATTTGACCTGCTGGCCACACTTTTTTCTTTTATACAGCGCAGGAGACAATCAGTTTTTTGGACCACCAGTACCCCCAAGTCCTTCTCTGCAATCCATAGGAACATAAAGTCATTCTTGCCTGTTTCTTTATTCAGTGAAACTCTGCTTGGTCACATCAAGTGAGGAACAGCTTTGGGTAATAACACATCTGATGGGCAATACAGGCTGTCTCGCAGGAAAAAAAAAAATAGACTCACAGTAAAATGTGAGTCAAATACTTGTAGATACCATCTAGAGAGGTCCTAGGACCAGCTGAGGTACCCTAGCCAATAGCAATACAAAACTATTAGTGACATAATATTCAGAGCCCAAAGAGTATGGCCACAAAGTGAATCCTCCAATACATTTTTGTAACAGCCTTATTTCATGTTTCATTACTTTTGCTCTCCTCTCCAAAATGTCCATTCATCAATGGCAACACGCACTGCTGCAAAGCTCTCATGTGACTCTTCTCCTTATTCAATCCCTCTGTGCATGATCTGGTCTTCAAGCGACCACCAGACCAAGACCAGCAGACCACCATTGCCATTAAGCACATCCCTGAGTGACTGGCAGACAGTTTGTGACTCCTCTGTGGCATGGAGAGCCCATTTGCTGCCCCTCTCAGGGCCAGCCTGAGGAGAGCAACAGGCAACAGCAAACAACAGGCATGTCAAGGGAATGAGAGGAGATAAGAAACCATCCCTATCATAGGAAGAAGCAAGATAGGGAAAGGAAGATCAGCATTTGTCTGGGATACATTACAAGGTGGGTTAAGGAAAACACAGGACTTTTATTTGCTCAAATTGAGCCCTACCTTACCATCTACATAATGGAGTCTGGTTCTTCTGGTTTTTGAGATAGAAAAGGAACTGCCTTTGTTTTTGCAACAGTGTAAGATGACGTTTTGCTTTCAATTTTAAATGAAGCTCTGCATTAGACTTCTTTCAGCCCTACTAGATATTTCCTGGATAAATTACTCAGCACACCCATTTATATCCAGGTTATATACTTTTTTTTTTTTTTTCAAATGCAAGACACCTGTAACCTCTTCAGTATAATCTCATTGGCTGCAATGATCTGGGCAGATATCATCCTGAGTTGGCAAGGGTTTGAACCAGATTTGGGTTCCTCAGATTTTTCTGCTAACTGTGAAGAACAAACTTATAAGCTATTTTATTATAAAGAGCACATTTACAATTTCAATAGAACTCATTAAAAAGAGGAAAAAAAAGATCTATACAAGAGTCCTGCCTGTTCCATCTGCTAAGGATAGGGCACTAATCTTTAAATAAGTATCATACTATGATCGCTTATGTTTGTAATGTTCTCACAAGATCAGAGCATTATCACATCCACATACAAACCACAGAGACATAAATTCAAACTATGCATTTTACTGTTCTCAGAAAAGGCCCAGATCCATAACTCTAACCTCAGTGCCTTTCTGCACAGATGTGCAGGAGGAAAAGATGTAATAGAAGAGGACAAGAATGACTTTTTCTTAGAAAGTACAGAGTTTCTCTGGTATCTGATTCCTAGTAATAATTAAACCAAAAATGGCAGTTCCAAAAATAACTGCTTCCATAAGGTAACTGACAGTGATCACTCTTGTAAAACAAGTGGTAAGTCTGTCTTAAGAGCATCACTATATGTACCATCCCACACATGTTCTGCTCTCATCTTTGGGATGTTTTCAGCAGTGTGAGAGCAAGGGCTCTGCTCCTCTGGGGATTTCTGGCTGGTCTGTCCAAGGCCATCTCCGGAAGTGCAGAAGGGAATATTTTTTAATCCCTTGGGCAGATCTGCCAGATTCATCCCCATAAAAGGCCTAGCTATCAGAAAGCAGGACTAGAGGCAGGAGGCTGTAGGCTCAACACAATGTTACAGAATGAAACATCTTTCTCCACCTGTTATACCAAGACACCTTCAATGGCTAGGAAACAAAAGTGAGAAACCTTTTTAGACAAACACAGGAGAAACCCATTCGAGAAGAAACCCGGGTAGTGCCATCAGTGTGACAGTGGCAGATTGTCCATCATTGCCTGTTAGCAGTGTGTGGGTCAAGGATGTCACAACTGTGCCAGTAAAAAAGGGACAAAGCTAGTTTCACCAGGTGTACAACATACACACCTCATTTGATCCCCAGCTATAAGGAAACAGAAATAACTACTTTCAGGGTGCTTAAAAAGCCCAGCAGATAGTCCAAGCCTGCCTAAACAAATAACCTGAACTTACTGGGAGTGCATAAGGGACAAGGAAATGGGGACGAAAACCTATCTCAACTTTCATGTGACTGTCATCTTCTCTGAAAGACTATCACCCACACCCACACCTCCCCTCATCCATTTCCTTTTGTTTCTTTAATATTGCTTTCTTTTTTTTCTGTGGCAGCCTGTGCTCTGGGATACCTCTGTAGACGCCACAAGGAGCAGGAGATATGGGTCCATGTTCCCAGCACAGCTGTGGGGAGGGAGAGCCCTGCACACAAAGACTTTGCAGAGCGACCCACAAAACCAAGTCAGCAGATTACATTTGGTTCAGAAGTGCAACCACACCAGGACGGACACACAAAAGACTCATTGGTCTTGCAGCAGTGGTGGAGGGGAAGCAGCTTCTGCCAATTTATCAGCTGTGTCTATTCCCAAGGAGTGAATGTGAACCTCAGTTAAACGTACCTTTATTTAAGAACCCTATTTAAAAACTACGACTACCAGTAACCTTTCTTTCTGTGTATGTACTAAATCCAATGCAAATAGCCATCTAGAATGTCCCCACAGATCCATCAGCAGATTTCCACTCTATAAAACCACCTACCCAAACATTAACCTCAGTGGCTGCTCGTGGGTTTGCATATGCAAACCCTGAGGAAGGGAGACAAGGATGATCTCACTTTCAGGAAAGCACATGCACGACC